CCCCTGGGGATGCTTGGATGGCGCTCCATGCATTGCATCAATATAGCTGTCGCCTGCTGCGGCAGAGATTGCTAGGACCCCTGGCAGCGCCCAGAACGGCCGTCGACAGTGCTGACCCTGACCGGTCCAGAGCCGATGCCAGCCTCAGTTGAGACGGTTCACGGCTTGTGGGAGTAGCGCTTTGCGAATGGAAACTAGCGGACGATCCAGGGCAGACGCCGGGGCCACAGGCTGATCTCCAAGCATTGAATCTACCTCTACAGGACAGGCATGCACGGAGCTGGGGGGGAGACAGGCTTTGACGATATGACGACGACGACAACGATGATGGTGATGATGATGATGATGATGTGCAAGCATCAAGAGCGTCGAGGGTGCCGTGCCGCAACCGCCACCAAGGGGCCATGAAGGCGCAGATGCCGTGCCGTCTGTCTACCTTACCTTGGTTGCCTGGTATTCTCGTATGTCCTGACTCTTGTACTCGTACTTGGACGCAATACATATAGTACCTACCGCTTCGCTGCCGTCGACAGAGCGGAACTGTACCAGGTACGGCTGCCTTGCCTTTGGTTGCCCGTGCCAGTACCGAGTACCGACCTGCCCGTAGACCCAGAGCCCGCAGGTGATATGGAGCTGGAGGCATTATTCACGACGTTGACAACGCCCGATCAGGATGCCATCGAGAGGACATCAATGACATGGTCGGCCGCAATACCTAGGTAGCAGGCCCAACTTCTGCAGATACTTGTACTTGTGCCGACTCCAGACCAGATGGCCCGGCTATCGAACGCCCTTATTAGCACTGTTACACAAGCGGCTGCGTGGGACGAAAGATGGACTGTTTCTGCGGAGAATATCGTGCCCATACCGTCTCGTACATGTACTTGTGCTGCGGACTGGCCAGCGTGGGCCGCGGCTCGCGTGCGACATTCTCGCTAGCGCCACACTGGAACCATTGCTCTGGGCTGCTTAGCCGCTGGGGCCTTGATTACTTTGGACTCTGGACTCTCGTCTTGTCTCGTCTCGTCTGGGGCCACGGTCAGATACATACATGTACTAGTAGTCAGATAGACAGGCAGACAAACAGACAGACAGACAGACAGACGCAGACATGCAGACACGCATTGGGAAGAACAAGCCAAGGCTTTTTGTTTTTTACTTGCTCTTTTTCCCTCTCGTCGGCGGCCGCAATGGATGGCCGCCCATCAAAACGCAATTAACTCCGTTTGCGGCCCTTTGGCCCGTGCTATGTCGGTTCTGTATCTGTACGTTGCGCCGCCTCTGTCTGTCTGTCTGTCTGCCCGTTCTTGTACATACATACGCGGTGCTGTCAGGCAATCAGGCGTTGGCCGTTAATGGCACTACCTCCGGCCTTGACATGGGTCCTTGAAGCCCCTTCTCAGCCCACCCCCCCCAACGACAGCAGAAGCTCCATTGGTGACATCCTGGACCAGCCAATGCCATTGGTCGGGGCTTGTGATTGGCCATTATTGCTTCTGAGAGGAGAGGGCAGAAGGAAGCAAAGCAGGAGAGGGAAAAAACCACAGGGGGAAAAGGCGCAGATCTGTTGCGCTCCACGAGATGCTCGGATGTGCAAGTATACCCGTCGTTGGAGTACTCTCTGGGTGCGGCCACGAGATCCACGCACTGTGCTCGTACGGCTGGCTTGTACGAGACCGCCCACCTTGTCGGGGCAAGGGTACGCGCGCATTCCACTGCGGCTGGCTTCGAATCATCTCCAGGCTTTCAGCTGTCCCGCTTGCTGGGTGCGTGCTTGTACAAACGCAGAGTAGCAGCATCTGGGCACCCACCGAGGACCCCGGTAGCTGGGAACTCGCGTTTGCTTTGCTTGTATCTCGACGACGAGCACCTAGTCCGAGGCACGGGCGACGTCGCACACTGGAGAGGGGAGGGGGGGCGAGGCTTGTGGTGCTGAAGACTCGACTCGACTCGACTCGAACGACGTCCGGGACGCGATGCGATGCGATTCGATTCGATTCGACCGTTTGATTTGGATTACTGCAGCAGCACTCGGCTTTGCCACAGCTGTCGTGTCCGAGAGAGCGCCTCTCTGCCGCCACGGCTTCCGCAGGCATTTGCTGTGCTGAGCCCAGCTGGGGTTGAACTGAGGTGGGAGGGGAAAAGCCGACGCAATAGGTTCGCCCTCGCCCTCTGCAAGGACAGGGAGGGTATTTGGCATTTCGCACCTCATTCGCTGCGTACAGGTACATGTACCAAGGACGTGTGTTTTTCTTTTTTGCCTTTGAGTTGGCGTCCACTCTGGGGGTACGGAGTACATGCACCGAGTGTCACCCGCCCACCCATCGATTTTTTTTAATCTTCTTTTTTCTTCTCTCTCCCTATGCACTCTCACCGTGATCCTGCACCAGCAAACGCCAACCCCTCCCCTAGCTATCAAGCAAGGGAATTGATTGATCGATTGACGGATTGAGTGCCTGCAACGCGCCTCTCAAGCTCCAGGAACGCGCAGGCGGTTTGGCACCACAACAAGAGCCCGCCTCTCGTCCAAAGTCGAAGTGCCGGAATCCCTCCAAGCGCAGAACTCGCTCGCGCTACGACGGAAATAACCCGATTCCCACACCCCCCCCTCCAGCGTCACTGGGTCAGACTCTCTCCTTCGGATCGTACCTCCGTGCCACTGGCGGCGGCGTGCTTGGAACGATACTGTGCTGCAACTTTGGCTGCTCCCACAGCGCTGGGTTCTCGCTTTGGTCGCGCTCCAGAATAAAATAAACCCTGACGCTCTCGTGAGTCCCACTCTTTTCTCCCCCAGCCATTGCCAATGTACCTGTACCTCCACCCGTACCTGTACCTTTACCTGTACCTCCACCTCCACCCGCGCTGGACCTCTGCAAGGCCTGTTCATCTTCCCCAATGCATTTCTTTTTTTCTTTTCTTTTTTTTTTTTTTTTTTTTTTCTCTCGTGCGTGGTCCCGTATAAAATTCTTCGTCCCGCACCCACTCGTCCTGCAAAAACTCGTCGCCGTCATAAACTGACAAGAGAGTTTTTCCCCCTCCTAGAAAAGCCAGAACAGACACAAACCTCGCCCCGCCACATCTCTGGTTTCTAGAACTAAGCGCCTCAATATTCAGCCAGTCAAGCCAGCTCTGCTGCTAGCTCTGCATCGCGCCCCGTGTCTCTCTATCAACCACACGACGGAGCGATTCTCAGCCAGAAAAACCACACGCCCCGGGTCCTTGCTCGAGTCAGACGCTAGACTCTCTTGGAACCTTGGTACTCACCCATCCCCGGCCTACGTTCAACACTATATTAGTAGTTGGGTCCCCAATCTGTGCGACCGGAACGCCTAGCTTTACTCTAGCCCCCCCTTCGAAACTTTGCCTGATCGCGGGCAAGCAAGACATCCCTGACCCAGCAAGATCCGCGCTTCCAAGGACCAAGACTCCTGGACTTCTGGAGCTAGTGCGCATCACGCACCCCAAAACAACTCCATCAACCGAGCATTTTTTAAACAGCAACTTGGCAACTTTGTCGCTACGGTATACGCCGCTCGCCCCAGTCCGCGCTACTATTGCCGCCGCCGGCGATATTACATATACTAGCCATTGCTGCTTGCGCCGCCACCGCGACACCAAGTGTCCCCCCCCGGAGAGAGCCTACTCATCACTCTGCCTCCGGCTGCTACTATTTCTTCCTTCCCCCTGCACCATCTTGGAGACGCGAGTGCTTGGAAACTAGTCTTGTCTGGACGCCGTCTCTTTTTTCTTTCCACGCCAACCTTGTGTGGAGTTCGGTAGCACGTTCCTGGGCCAAAGCCAGCGCAAACCATCAACATCGCGACTTGGGAGTTTTGATCATCTTCACTACTTCCGCATCACGTCGCCGATAACCATCGCATAAAGCACATCAAGAAACAAAGGGAAAAAGAGAACTTGTCAAGAGTTCTCCCCTCGTCTTTGGGCTTCGCCATCGTCGATTGCTTCGAGTGTTTTTATGGACCGCGGTGCCACCCAGTTCTCGCAGTCAGGTTTGCCCTCGCCCTACTCCAGCAGCTTCGGCGACCATCATTCTGAAGGCTCGTCGGCAGAACACGCGTCTGCTGCTCAGTACCCCGGGAAACAAGACTATCCCACCTCTGTGACTCCCACCTCGGAGTACAGCGTCTATCCTCCCTCGGCGCGATCAGGGTCTTTCTCGGCGGATCATATCCAGCGTTCATACCATCCTTCCAGCAGCGCGAGCAGCGGAGGTATGGCGCAACAACAGAACAGTCCGTCTATGCCCCAGCACAATGGGCCTAGCCATCAAGCCCACCCCGTCAATTCTGACAACGATGTGCCTATAGATCCGTCTATTGCGGCTCCGAGTCCAACCTACCCTTATGGGCAGCACTCGCCGTATGCGCCGAATCCAGACATGTCTCATGGCTACTCCCATCAGAGCGGAGGCATGTATGCGCAGCCCCGACCCGACTGGGCCGGGTACAGCCAGCATGGAGCTCCTCCTTTGACTCCCGGCCACCCCGTCTACGCCCAATCCCCAGCCTCTGCTCCCCAGCAGAGACCTAGCCAGGTACGTGCGCAAATGTAGTGCTTGGAAGTGCTTCAAGTGGGACGAGAGAGTGGGAGAGAAAAAGTGAAAATTGGGCGGGAAAAAGTGGTTGTTTTCGTCGAGAGGGGAGAGTCAACTACCCAATCTTGGCGCGCATCTGCAATTGAGTGGGCGCGTGCGCGGGAGAGAGAAGATGAATCATGCTACTCGAGACGGAGACAATCTTGGTCCGCCCGAGATTCCTCCACGTTCAACTGGCCTTGTTACTAGCACAAAAGTACGCATACTAACCTGAATTCTACTCCAAACAGGTCTACTCTTTCGTTCCCATCCCCGGCGCTCAGCAGCACAAACGCCCCCGCAGACGCTACGAGGAAATCGAGCGCATGTACAAGTGCGGCTGGAATGGATGCGAGAAGGCCTACGGCACTCTGAACCATCTCAACGCGCACGTCACCATGCAGTCTCACGGCCAAAAGCGAACTCCCGAAGGTAGGTTGCGACTTTCGCCTCTTTTACGCCTCTGTTCCCCCCCTAGTTTAAACTGCCCAACTTGAAGGCTCAGCCACGTGGCCCGCCTGAAAACTGACACCAACGGATTGTTTGCGTCATATGCCCCTGGGAATATACACGGCTAACAGATGATGCAATCCAGAGTTCAAGGAGATCCGCAAAGAGTGGAAGCAGAGGAAGAAGGAGGAGGAGGCCCAGCGCAAGGCTGAGGAGGAGCGACAGAGGGCAGCGGCAGTGAATGTCGCGCAAAACGGTGGCGGTGATCCCCAGGCTCCCGACGGCGCGTCTTCCTCTGGATATCCCACGAGACCTGTCCAGCTTCCTCCGATAGGATACCAGCCCAACCAGTATCCTGCTCCCCCTTCCGGCAACGTTGGACAGCAGCCCATGCCGGAATACGGAGCCAGCCACATGTACTCCAACTACCAGCCTCACTCTCCCTATGCTCAGCCCAGCCAGCAGAACATGTATAGCCAATGTACGTCGTCGACCGGAGTTGCAACATGATTTGAAAAAACCCCCCCTCATGCTAATTATCACGCAGCAAATGGAGCGCCTCCCCCTAGCCACTAGGCTAATAGCTTGATGAGCTGTGGGTGCCACCATTGATCTGGGCATATATGACTTTTTGCTGGTCGCAGATACCCCCTCCCCTCTTCTCGCGTTGGACATAATGATTTTCTTTTTTCTTTTTCACCCCGGCGGCAGGATGAAAAGAGGTCGAGTTGCAAAAAAAAAAAAAAAAAACTTGGCCTCTGGAGGAAATAATATCTCTGTGGGATGTTGCCCGGATGTCAGGGTATACCTCTCGGGGTTTGGGTACTTTTGCCGGCCAGCATCTTAATTAAGGCGGCACCCGTGTTTGATTTTTGCAGCAGTTTGAGGTGGTTTTCTTTTTCTCTTTCATGTCCCTTTTCTACCCATGTTCGAACAAATTTCCTTTTTTGTGTGTTTTCAATATTTTCTTCGGCTCTTTCGCACTCCCGCATTTGGGAGGGCATTGGTCTACGGTTACTGGGGGGGTTGCATTGGCAGAGGCACTCCGGGGATGGTCGGCTCTTTCATGGCGTGATGCAATTTTCAGGGGCGGTTCGGCGCAGAGGATACGGAGTACTGAAACCACGGCGGGTGAAGCACCAGGGGTTTCCCGGTGGCTGGTCTGAGGAAAAGAAGCTGCTTCTGTATCGCCGCAAGGCGAAAAAACAAAACGCGATACGACTTTTGACAAAGTGAAGGGAACGCTCAGAGCGCTGGAAATGGGATGCGTAAAGACGGACTGGCTGGACTCTTGGGCCCCTGCGGCAGACTTTTTCCTTTTCAAGGAAAGCAAAGCAAGCAACCCAGGGGGTGGAGGACTTTGGAAACATTTGGAAGGAAAATGAAGGAGAAAAAAAAAAGGAACCCGGAAAGAATGGAACTTATTTTACGCCCTTTTCGTAAAGACATTGCGGCGAAGAACGATTTGTGTAACGCTTTTTTTGTAACGTCTTTTTTTTTCTTTTTCTTTACTCTTTTTTTTCTTCTTTGTTGAGAGAGAGAGAAGTGTATACGATAGCAGCAACCACCTAAACAGTCATTACTGGTTATACTATGTGTGTCGAGAGTTGGAGATTACGATGCGATGCTTGCTATATACGTATATATAGGTATCATATCATATGTATTCCTGCGTGTATAAGCAAGATGCGATTGATGCATGCAACACCAAGACGACGACATATCCAAGCAACCCTCCATCCACCATGATGGGCGCCTCCTGGACCCTACGCACGTTGCAAGCCTTGTTTAGTCTCGCATCAAGCAATCGACACTAAACCAGCGTGCCATGCGGTTGGGACCGGGGCGCCAAGCAGCAACCCAAAAGCTAGTGTCGAATTTTAGAAGAAAAGAATTAAAGAGACCCCGTCAGGCTGGGCTGGGCTGGGCTTGGGTGTGTGACAGAACACGGTGCGGGTGTGATGGTTACACAAAGAAAGACATGGGTTGGGATTTTATGTATTTATTTTTATATATAGTAGGTATTTTTTAAAGCTTGGTGGTGGGATGTCGTGGCGGTACTAGGTTAGTTAGGTGCCTTTTTTTTTTTTTTTTTGTGCTGCGTGGGATTTTATGTGTGTGGATTGGATTGGGACTTTGAGAGGTTTAGGCGATTTTGTTATTTATTTTATTTATTTGTATTTTATGGTTGGTTTGTTTTGTGTTGCATTGATGATGTTTTGGGAGGGTTTATGATGCTCGACGAGGCTGTGACGTGACCGTGGGGTGGGAGGGGGGCAAACGCTGCGTGAAAGAGGGTGAAGAAGAAAGAGAAAGGAGGAGAGGGGAATAAAAATAGAAAAGCCACGCGAGAGTGAGGTAGGTATCAAGTTTTTTGTTTTGATGGTAGTATCTTTTTGTGTTACGATCGGGATGCTGCATGTGCTTGGGGATTCTAATTATATATACGAGTATAGAGGTGACCTCTTTTTTTTTTTTTTTTTTACGTTCCAGGGAGGGGGGGAAGAGCGCTAGAATATTCGATGCTGGCTTCTTTTTTTGGCTGCGGATTTGGTGGAACGCGAGATGTGATATGGGCAGCTGATGTAGATGCCAGACATGTTTTTTGCAGGAATGAGACAGAATACCAACAGTGCAAATGATGTTGAAAAAAAAAAAAAAAAGAATATGCGCAAGCGGGAATATTAGATAGTATGTATAGTAGTAAAAAGACAAAAAAAGAGTTGACATGGGGCTTCTGGAAAAAGTCTTGGCGAGATCTACCGCGGGAAGGGCTTGCGGGACGACGCGAAGATGGAGAACCTCTTTTCGATCCGCTTCCACCAAAGGGGGCGTGTGCAGACCAAGAGAGAGAGAGAGAGAGAGAGAAAGGGGGGAAATGTAAGGCCCTGTTTTTAACGTTTTGCTCGGGGGGGCCGCATAAGTTCGATTTTTTTATTTGGTTTGGACTCGATGGACGAATGTATTTATTTTAGTGTTTTTTTTTTCTTGGTCTAAATTGGTTCCCTGCGACGAAGGGTGTGTGTGGGCGGGAGGATCGGTTGAAGGGCCCGGCTTTGTTTGGTGAGATGGATAGTGGCACTAATAAAGATGGAGGTTTTCTTCTTCTTTTTCATGTGTTGTGTTTTGTAGGAGATGGGGTTTGTAGCTGAGTACGGTGGGATGAAGTAATGAGGCTGGGGGGGTTTTTCGTTCTTGTATGAATGAGGTGGGTTTTGGTGAGATTGGCGTTGAAGAGCGCTTATGGCTTGGCTTGTACTTGCGTGGATGTATGTATGTAATAAAAAGATGACTATACGGCCAATATCTTGACGATGTAGATGTAGCAGTAAGATCGTCGAGGATAACTCACTAGCAGAAACAAGCAACGTGGCCGTTGGTCAAGACGACTTATAACAAGGCTGGACCCGCGGTTTTAGAGGGATGGGTTTGGACAGCTTTGTTGGATCGCCCGGGTTGGGTTGCCTGGGTTGCTTTTAGTGGGTGTGTGATTTCGGAAACTGAAAGACAACTAGACAGATGGATGGGTTCCAGAAGAGTGCTTGGAACCGGAGGGAGGGGCGAATTGTGATGATGAGAAGGGCGATGATGTAAACTGCTAGGATGCTGTTTGTAAGCCGTAAGTTGGAGTATAAGCCTCTTCATGGAGGATTGATCTCGGCTTGATAATGAGATGATGCTCATGATGAACAGAACAACTGAGCTCTTTTTCTACAGACCAGGTGCGCGGATATCCAATATGAATCCAAGTCTTTTCCTCGAGTAATGGTGGCATCGCAGCTAAACCCCAAGACGCACACACCCTCCCTCCCCTCGATAGCCTCACCTCACCAACAAAGACCCTAGCATTAGCACAAACCCACCCACGCCTACATCCCAGCCAAGGGGCCAAAAAGAGAGAAAGAAAAAAAAAACAAGAAAATGGACGTCAATGTGACAGCGGGTTCGGCACGCGGGAACACACCAGCACAAAACCGCCCCCCCCCTTGCCAGGAAAGACTAAAGTATTATAGCAGAGATTTCGCCTTGCGCTTTTCTCTCATCGATCTACTTTTTCTTTTTTTTCTTCTTTTCTTCTGCGCACCCCTTGCTTAGCGCCTTGCACTGTGTTGCTGTGAAGGACCAGGGCGTGAGTTTTTTGTTGTTTTTTTAGTGCCATGGTTTTTTGGGGGGCGATCTGGGGAAACGTGGTGGTTATACGGAGGATATTGGGATTAATGTCATGCTGCGGAGCGGTTGGGCTTGGTAGGGCTGTGATGGAAAGGATGAGCACGCGATGTCTTTGATGTGTTGGATATGATGGTAAAAAGCGGTATAGATGTAAATCCACGGCACTTTTTTGATTTTCATATCAAGTTTCCAGCTCGATTCGCTGCGAGCCCAAACCATCCCGAGACTGCCGCCCGTCCTCTTAACCAAACGGGACATGAATCGCTGAGCCGGCACCGAAAACCCCGTAAGCACAGCCCGAGCCAAACCGCGAAGATGCTGACATGGTGTGCGAGGATGCTAGTCTTTGGGGGTTTGGGGTTGCCGGTCTTGGTGAACCGCCAGACTTGGGTTGTTGCTTTTCGAGTAGATGTTTCTTTGGTAGGTGAGAAGAAGGAGGATATTTGGTTTATTTTTCTTATTATATTGGTGGATTCGAATATACATCTTTTGATATTGTTGTAAGTGAAGAAACAGGGAGAGCCATCGGATAACCAATGTCTAGTGGCAGATGAATAGTGCCTGTCGTGAAGCTACTCCAAGCCGCATCACGTACATATCCCAATACATGCGCATGTACAGCTACACTCACGTCAACTCCCAAAAGACCCATCAACCTCACCATCTACCCCTGTCCCAAGGCCAACGTACTAACACATCCCATCTTCTACTCTTCCAAAACCCAAAAAAAAACGTGCAAAACAGATGGCCTAGCCAAAAGGCTAAAGTTAGTCCTATTTAGCTGGTCTTTGGACGGACACCCCCCAACACTAACGATGAAGGTCTTGGGAGGTTTCTTTTTTTTGTGGGATAAAACACCAACCGTCTGGCGTGCTAAAGGCGCGTAGTGCGAGCTTGGCTCCAGGACCTGGGTTGAAACTAAGGTAGTGGCAAGTGACAGACTTATTTGTTTGACGGAGCGGCAGCTAAAAAGAGCTGGACTAGCAGTTGACGGGCTTGGTTTGATGTCCTGTCGTCTGTGTCTTTGGTGTTGTTGGTGTTATCTCACCTCACACCCTCGGAAGCTGTTGGCTATTTAGCGCCTTTGTCTTGTTTGAACAGGTAGATGGAGGTATGGAGATGCTACACATGACGTATATCAGCGTCTTCAGACATCATTTCGCCTTGCGATGAATTAATCAGTTGGTTCTTCCTTCGCATCTTATCTGTGTCCTATTGTTAGAAACAATAAACTTCCAAGTTCCCTGAATTTGCTCCTAAATGACGTTGTGCTTGGCCTTGTGCCTTCTAGATAGCGAAAGCGGGTATAGAGCGGATAACGCCACCAAACAATTTGCTCGTCCGCCTCACTTTCCATCACCGCAGTCCAAAGCTTCAACATTTTCCCTCTCATCTCATTCACATCAAATACCTCATCATACCGGTATCTGCATATCTTGATAAAGTCGCATGATCAAGTTTTGTTTACGATGACACTTTGAGGGGACACGCACATCAACGTCTTTGCCCCGCGTCGAGCTCCAGCATCACCATCTATCCATACCTTCGACTACCGGCAGAACAGAGCTCACAACAAGACACCACGTGCCATATTTGTCCCGGCATGGCTGGCGAGAGGCCGTTCCCGGCATCGCCTCTGCCTATAGGCGGGCCGAGAAGATTGCCGAGCCCGGGTGCTCGCTCAACAATGTCCCACGACTCGGTCAAAGTGCTCGGTGCCCATCCTTTGGGATCTCTTCGTGTTGTCCACCCTGACGAATCCATGGAGACGGAGGAACGCCAAGATAACCCGCCGCCTCCTCTGGAACCCCCCGGGAACCTGAATGGCCGGAAACGAGTTCAGTTTAGCGATGCTCGGACACATGTCCGAGACGACTTGTCGAGTTCGTCAAACCGTCTGTCCATCAGCCACTCCATGGGCGGAGGAGATGTGCTGCTCATTTTGGATCTGCCCGAAGTCTGTCTCGTGGGATACGACACCGCCTCGTTCACTGCCAGGCACTTTAAAGGCATCTGGGGTATCCCGCCCGGCCCTCATTTCTTCTGGGTAACTCATCCTGATAGCGGCTCCGTCAGGACTGGCTTCTGGATTGTATCGTCTGACGCGCACCGAGTCCATGTTTTGCAATGGGACAGGTTCAGCGAGACCATACTTGAGCCATCACGAGCAGAGGCCCGATTTCAGGCCGAATATCTCGCCACTTCTCATCACAAGCTGGTCCGTTATAACAACCCAGAGGGAGCAAAGCCTGATGCAGACGTCTACAGGGCAGCGGATGAGAGATCAACGATATGGAAACTGTTATCTGGGAGCATCACCGAACAAGTACTTGACCGCGTTACCGGGCAGCACGCCAGCAGTTGGCATGTCGATACGACGGATCGCGTCAAGGGGGCTATCCTTTTGGCCGTGGAGATGGAGCTTGAAAAGAGATTCGCAAACCACGTGTTTCAATCAAGAGAACTCAATTTCAGCTTCTCGCAGCACTCGAGAACATATTCTGCCAATGTTCTGGGAGCCGCTCGAAGCTTGGCTGCGACAGATGCAACGTCCTACATGCTGTCTGTCATGAGCGAACCCAACAAGGAGCTGTCCGAAGATGACATTGTTGGAGAGCTTCAGCTTGCCTTTGTTGTCGGCGTGGCTCTCGGAAACGATGCCTGTATCCAGCAGTGGCGGCATATGATGATCAAGCTGATCCTCAAGGCATATTCTTTGCCGGAGCACCGCCCAGTCTTCGCTGTCAAGCTGCTGCAAACAATTACCGCGCAGCTTCAATACAGCTCCAGGTGGCTGGAAGACTCCATCATGGACTACGGCGGCTCAGAGAGCCAAGCGCTGAGGCTCGCCCTCATCGTCTACAAACGCCGGCTGGACGAGCTCCTCAACAGCCTCGGCGCTCACGCCACACCCGAGCAGCGCAAAGTCGGCACCGCGATCGCCGGCTTGGAGCTCGAGGTCACGGGGCTTGGGTGGGATCTGCATGCGGACTACGTGAGAAGGGGCAAAGTGATGATGGAAGACGGCGAAGAGGTCGAGGTGGAAATGGACGAGCTGCAGGCTGAAGACGAGCGTGGCGAGTGGGCGCCCGAAGTTGTCGAGCTCGACGAGCACGGGCGCCAGCGGGACTTGGTGTCGTGGAATGATTAGGGGACTACAACCACGGACGAGAGCGGACGAGACGAGAAGCTGCGGTCTGTGAAGCCGCGTGAGAGGCGATTTTCCGACTGGCTGGGCCTGCCTGGGTGGTCGAAATTGGTAACGGGAAGGAAGATGAAACAGGCAAACAAACGGAGGGTTCTGTCGCAATCCCGTTGAATGGGGTGTTTTCTGGGTTTGAGTGATTGTTTACCTATGCTGTGATTGTTCACCTATGCTCGGCGTTTGGGGGACTGGGACGGGTGTATGGAGTGTTTTTCGGTACGGGTTGGGTAGATTGGAAAGTGCCTCGGTCGTTTGGGTTTATGGAAGTGGTGAGCTCTGGTTTGACGAGTCTGCTTAGTTTAGTATAATGTTTACTCGATTGGCTCTTGGCCCTGGGATGCTTGAGAATGTGTGTTGCTGACTCCTCGATAATGAGAGAGCAAGAGTTTTCTCTGACTGTTTGGAGAAGATGTTGTCTGATTGATTATTCCTGTTGGAAATTCGGGCAGCAACGCTTGGCTTGGAGGTCTTTCTGCCGAGGAAAGCGAGGCCCTAGGCCATGAGTCGGTTGGTGTATACAAGGTACGGAGATGTGTGTGTTGACTGCAAGTTGGGCCGGGAATGATGGGCTTGACAGGGTTGGACGTGTTGAAGTAGATGACCCTTGCCATGCTCTGAGTTAGACAGACCTGAGGCCATGACCACGGTCCCACTTGAGAGAATTGACAACCGTTGGGGAATATCTTTGGTAAAAGAGTCATCTGTCGGCCAGCTGATATCTGGTATTTGGCATGCGTTACATCGTGGTCTTTTCTCGGCAAGGGTCGTGGATGTCGATTGTGGGATTACGGCCCTCTCTGTCTGGCAGCATTATCATTGGCTTTGCATTTCTCATCTTGAGACTGCGTGACGACCCATGATACGTCACGCTCCTAGAATACACGCACGCAAACATTCACACACACACGCACGTCTCTGCTGCACTTTGGTAAACGTTTGAAGATTTCATTAGCCTGCCAGACCCGTTACAACCCGCCCAAAGCAAGGCCATGCAAATGCCAGTGGGAAACCTATCCCCGTGCCAGGGGATATGCGACTCCGGCCCCTTTTGTATTCCACATCCTGAAAGCTGCAAAAGGGAACAGCAGCAGCAAGATGCTTCTCTCGACCATTTCTTCCTTTCTTTCTTTCCTTCCTCCTCGCTTTCCCCTTCCCCCCCGCCCATTCCCCAAACAGCGCCAAAAACGCCCACCAGCCAGAACCGTTTATCGGTAAGACTTCTGGTACCTGGCGCGGGCGCCGGGACCACCAAACTTCTTGGGCTCGCAGCGGCGGTTGTCGGCGACCAGCAGGGTGCGGTCGAACTGGACGAGGGCCTGCTTCAGCAGGTTCTTGGAGTGCTCGTCGACGTACTTCTGGTAGTAGGCGATGAGGGACTTGGCGATGGCCTGGCGGATGGCGTAGATCTGGGAAGTGTGACCACCGCCGGTGACGCGGACGCGGATGTCAACGTTGGCGAACTTGTCGAGGCCGACAACCAGGAGGGGCTCGTAGACCTAGAGGAAGCAGGATTCTTAGCATGTGCGGTCTTGTCTCGTCTTGTTCCGTCATTTCGAGCAATTTGTGGCCGTCTCCAATATCATCTGCCGAATGATTCCCCTCCAACTTGTGTGATTTTCAATGCTTGACAAGGGTACCATCTCGGGATGAATTGGAGGCGGCCACAAAGCTATTCGAATCGTATCGGGGAAGAAGGATTGCGTGCGTACCTTGAAGCGGAGGATCTCAGGCTGGACCAGAGACAGAGGGCGGCCGTTGACCTTGACGAGACCACGGCCAGCCTAGAAGAGAGCCAAACGTCAGCATTTCCACATGTTCGATTTGAATCCTGCAATCTCGACTCCGCGCTCATCTCCTCGAAAACAAGGAAAAATTCCTCCATGACGTCTGCCCACATCTCCCGTTTTTTTGCACATCACATCACATCCCATCTCCCGAATCCTCCCTCCAAACCTCGCGCCATCGCCCTCGTCTTTTCGTTGCACTAACCTTGCAGTGGGCGACGGCAGTGGCCGTCTTCTTCTTGCCGAAGCATTGCACGCTCTGAGTTGACGACATGGTTGCTGGTGGTATGTCTGAGTTGTTGCGTTGCTGCAGTCTCGCTTCGCTTCTCGTCGTGATGGTGCTGGTCCCCTTTTCGCCTAGGACGGATTTTTTTGCGTCCCGGCCACCAGCGCCTCCAGCAGAACAGCGAGAGGGTTTGTGCCCTTAATGTGCGCTATCCCCCTTTGGGGCCGCACGAGCCTATCACAAGTTTTGCTGCAACTTTTTTTTTTCTCTTTCGCAGTGGCAGATCAGGGTACGTACTGGTGGGCTACTTGTAGTGGGGTTCCGCAGCCTGTATTTTTGGTGCGCCTGCCAAACAAAGTTCGCAGAGGCCGCACGATCGCACCGCCCACACGTGACGTGCGTGCCCTAAACCCTTTGCCTTAGTGTTCCGATTGTGGCATCCGCCAAAATTTCGCATCGAGCGAAGCATCACGCCGGACATAATCAACTACAGCCCGACTAACCGCCGTCAAGGTACGTCTATGCCGATTCAATTTCTCTCGCGAGATCCTCATTGCTACGGAAATCTAACGAGTGTCGCTGTTCCAGATGGTCGCCGCCAAGAAGCACGTCCCCATCGTCAAGAAGCGTATGTCAATCTTACCACCACGATTAGAATGAGAGAAGGGTCCTTGAGATACGGTCGCCCTCGCTATTTTTTGCCCTATTCTCTCTTGTCCCGACTGCCTTTGATAGCCCACACGACGAATGGAGGAAAAAAAACTCTACGAAGACGACATTGAAGCGCAGTGGGATTGGTTTGAAATAGGGCAAAAGAACGAGAAACCGCAAATCGAGCCTCTTTTTCTCCCTCTTGTCACTCCAAACTCAAGGCGTTGGAATGCGGAATTAACTAGAAATTTGCAGACAAGGCCCGCTTCGTCCGTCACCAGAGTGACCGGTTCGATCGTGTCGGTGCCAGCTGGAGAAAGCCCAAGGGTATCGATGGACGTGTCCGCAGACGTTTCAGGGGCACCATCCGCATGCCCAAGGTACGTCATTACCCACGAGGCGGGAAAGGGAGAGGAGCAATCTCCTTGTCCTGCTGGAAGAATTTCAATGCAAAGAGCAGAAAGCGCTAACGCTGTATACAATGATAGATCGGCTATGGCTCCAACAAGAAGACCCGTTTCTTGAGCCCCTCCGGCCACAAGGCTTTCCTCGTCCACAACGTCAAGGACCTTGAGCTGCTGCTGATGCACAACCGAACCCACGCTGCCGAGTACGTCACTCTTCCGTTTTGCCGTTGGAACGTTACCCCCGACTAACCTCGTCCCTACAGGATTGCCAGCGCCGTCTCATCCCGAAAGCGAATCGACATCATCTCCCGCGCCAAGCAGATCGGTGTCAAGGTCACAAACGCCAAGGCCAAGGTCACAACGGAGGTCTAAATGCAGACCTAGGCGTTTTCGGGGACTTGAGAGAGAAGGGGAAAGTTCTGTCGGTATCATCGGGTGTGGATGGAACGATAGAGAAAACAAAAAATAAAGCATTTAAAGCACACACAACAACGGAGAACAAAAAAAAAGATTAAACAAGTTCACAAAAAAGGCTTTTGTTTTGGCACTCCTGTGTTTGTTGTCTTTTTTTTTTACTTCTTCTCAGACTCTCCGGGGTTTATCGGGTTTTTTTATCTCTGGAAAGGAGGGGGGCGCATGCAGACTTCCATTGCTGCTGTCTTTGTTTTTTGAAAGAGAGGTGCTACGGGTTGCTTTTATTGCCATGCGCGCGTGCATGCTGCTGCTGCATTGCGGCGGGAGAAGGGAAGACGTATTGTCCAACTGCTAGGGAAATATGACGCACCGTTGACGACAATGATGAATCTTTGATGCCCACGATTGCTTGCTGTGATGTCTGGTTCTGGGTGTTGTGTTTCGTGAGGAGAGGGGGGGTTTGACACGTCTTGATCACAGACCAGTCCGGGCATATTTACCAGACGAGATGATGTACTACACGTTCATCGAGACGTGATATTCGAGAGCATCAAAGAGGCTCAGTCTACTTGTTCGCGCTTGCCATGGCCAACTACGAATCTACAGCCTACTCGCTTCTTCTCTATTAAACAACCGCATTACTCGAAATAACAGGAACTCACACTCTGCTCCATGAGTCCCCGTCAACCCATCATCAACTTCAACCCCACTCAAACCTACCAAAAATCTATCATGACAATCCCTCTTCCACCCACCAAGAAATTCACAGCCAACATATAAAACATTCCAAACAACTCCCAGAAGCCACAAACCAGCACCCCCTTCGTCATCTCACCTTCATAGCTCTAAGATAATATGCTACTCAAATGCTGTTATCCACATAGTCTAATAATCCCGCTAACTACTCACCACGAACTTATCAAACCCCTTCCCTTGCGTTGAGTCTCAGCATCGATAAATCAAATGCTTGCCCTACAAAAGCAACCATCACAGGTTTTATATGTTGTAATCAACCCCAGTCACCCAACTAGACAAAGCCATCCCTCACTTTAAATCATCCAGCTCATCATCTACATCTAGCCTTCACACTTGACACTACAAAGTACATACATCACGTTACCTCCGATCAAGACAAACCGGCTCCTATCGCCCAAATGAGCATTCATATATTCAGATACCAGATATCCATGGTGGTTAATGATCAAACAAGCAATCAATCATGTCCCCCAACAACACCCAATAAAGCAAACCAACAGAGGGCATATCCTCACCACCTCATCAATCCCAACTGAACAAAAAGTCATTCCAAACAACTACATCCCATTCATCCCACTCGCCTTATCCAACTGTACACCAACTCAATGCTCTTAAAACAACCAATCTCTAAATATAACAACCTCATCATCTTCTACGCGAATCTACAGTGACACATCAAATTTCACCCAAAAATCACCTCCAGCCATCTCACATCTCACATCTCACCAGTCACATGTCGCTTGTCACCAAAAAATAAAAATGGCAACATCATCTCTTAGGAAGCTAAACTAAAAAAAAACAAAAATGGGTATCATCACCCTACACATTCCTCCTCCTCTCTTCCCCTTCCCCTCTCACAACCACAGCACTACCATAAAAAAAAAATAAAAAAATAAAAATACACTACTACAAACACAAGAGACACAAAAAAGGGATAAAAAAAAATCCCTACATCCCATCAATGCAATATCTTCTCCCCATAGAGGTAGGGATACCAAAAGAACAGAAGATGGAATAAAAAAAAGTAAAACCACCAGGGTCTAGTCCATCACAAGAGAGAGAAAAAAAAATAATCGGCTATGCTTCCCATCCCGCTCCTCCAAGCGCAAAAAAAAAAAAAACCGAAAAGCAAGAAAACAAAACAAGAAAAAAGAAAAAAAAAACAAGAAGAGAAGAAAAGAGTCAAAAGATTGCTAGTAGCCACATCGTACAAAAACACTTCACCACAAAAAAAAAAAAGAAACAAAATAGACACAAAAATCGAAAATAAAAGACCAGAAGAAAAAGAAGACATAAATAAAAGGTTTAAATACCTGCCTGACCAAAGGCAAAAAGCAGCAGCCTGTAAAAGAATAATTCCCATTCCATCCCATCCCATCCCATTCCTCCAAGTTCCTCCACGGAAAAAAAGAAAAAGAAAAAGAAAAGCAACCACGCCAATGTATGTAGTGCCCTTTGTTTTTCTTTCGCCAACCGAGAGTGAAGAAGAAATTGTCTGCGCAAAAGAAGGAGGTGGTGTATATCTCATCATGAAACATGTTGACATGACAAATGAAAAAAGAAGAGGCTTCAGCTTTCTCCAAGCTTTAGATGAAAGATGGGGAGAACAAAAAGATCTGAGAGCGTTTTGGTAAAAACAGCCCGTAAAGAACAAGAAGAACAAGAAGCATGCGGTGCATTTGTCGCATTCAAATTTCGTCGTCATGTTGGAAAACTCTTTCTTCTTCTTCTTTTTCCCCCGCTGGATTCCCGCAACGCCCATGGTGGCTACTCTGGTCCGACACCAACAAAAAGACAAAAAAGATTTCTCATACAAAGATGAAGATGACATAGCCGTGCGCTGCGCGACGGGATGAGCGTGAATCCAGCAGCTGAATTTTCCTCCAAAACAGCGATCAACGTGTGGGTGGGTAAAATATAGGGCGCCTCAAGGCTTTCCCCTCAAACAAAACATTATGTACAAGTAATAAGAAGGCTGTTTATTTCTGCGTCAAACTCAGCGGGATCCTCGAGTGCGTTGTTTCCTTGCCAGCCAATCCCCAAGCATGTTATCAAGTTGCTGGCACGCCGTTAGTTTGTGATTCTCTTCGCATAGTTATAAGACACTTACCGTTGTTATCTCTGCCAACTTGGCGTTCTGCTCCCGGAAGAGGGGACCTACGACTGGATGGTCGCTGCTCGCGGGCACCACGTCCGTCTTGTCGTACACCACGACCAAGAGATCGCGGATATGCTCGGGCTCATCGAAAAAGGCACGAAGCTTCATGTCGTCCCAAGCTGGTTCCTTGCTTGCCGTGGAAGAGGAGCTGCTCTTGGATCGATCCTCGGCAGACTGGGTAAGCTCCGGAGAGGGCGATACCGAAGGTGAGCGGTCCTCTGGAGACGAAGTGTCTACCATGAGAGCAGGAGGCTCCGATGAGGCGGCCGGAGACACGGCAGATGGTTCCGCCGCCGGGCGAGTCTCTGGCTTGGTTGGGGGCTGCGGCGAAGGGGAAGGTCTGTAGTTGGGAGAAAACGGATTGGTATCGGGGAAAGAGCCCGGGATGATGGGCTCTTCCACCTCTTCCTCCTGAAGCGCCTTGGGGGCCTCGGGCTTGGAGCTGCTGGGCTGAGGCATCCGATCCAGAATATTCTCGCCGTCATCTTCTGACTCATCATCAGAATCGGACAGATCCAAGTGGTTGAGCGTACGCGGCGCGGTGGCAGATCTGGGGCTGGGAACCACCTCGCCTCGGCGGGAGGTGGGAGAAAGCGGCTGATCCAGAGATGGGCGGCCGCGAGGAGGCTGGTGTGACGGGACTTCGTGCGTCTCGTTCGTTTCGGGGTTGACGATGCGCATCGAGGGCGGGGGGACATTGGAGACGTCGTTGATGCGGCTTTCAGCCAAGTACGAGGCAAGCTCGACGGTGGAAGCCTGGGGCGCCTTGTTGTTGACGGTCGGCTCGACCCGGGCTTGAGGCTTGTGCAGCTTGGCCGGCTGCCTGGCCTTTTCGGGAGATGAAACCTCCTCTGAGAAGCGCTCCTCGCTGTCGCGCGGCTCGCTCTCGAGCCCGTCGTCGTCGGGCGACCTCTTCTTGTCTTTTCTCGAGAAGAAGCCTCGGAGACCACCGGGCTTCTTGTCTTTATTGTTGTCCTTGTCCTTCTTGTCCTTGATCTTCTTCCTGTCCTTGTCAGACATGAGCTCCTTCTCGAGCCTGTCCAAGCTCGTCCGAGACTTGCCGACAGAGTCGGTGGACTCCCGAGGGGCGTCATCCCGCAGCAGGTTAGGCGTGAGGGTGATCTTTTTGGTCTCGGCTGTTTCGTCCTTAAAGAAAGAGTCGGTGTTCCTGATGTTGCCGTTGCGGGTTATGCTGGGGCCCTTCTTCTCTACAATATCGAGGCTTCCTCGGAGATCTTCATCGTCAGAGGACTCGTCTAGAGTTTGATCCGATGGATTGGCGCCCTTGGATGATTTGGTCTTGAGCGGTTCCACCCTGGCGCTGTCATCGGCAGCATCGTCATCGGATGTCGACTGCTGCTTCTTCTGTTGGGTAGCGTCCAGCATCTCGTCAAGGTCTTCCTCTTCCGAGGAATAGTCGTGGTCAGAGTAGTCGAAATAGGTGGGCTCCGTAAAAACGACTGTTGCCTTTTTCTTCATGCCAATGGAAAAGCCAGTCTTTGGTTTCTGCACTTGTTGCTGGTCGGTCAACATGGTGGCGGAGAGCTAGTTAAACGGTTAGTTACAACAAAGGCCATTCCGTTTCCAGCGTGAAAGGGATTGCGTACGTCAATGTTCCTGTGCTTGTTCAAACGAGCGAGCCTTTCGGTAGGCGTCTCAATGTGTTCGGCTGGCAGGTAGCCTAGAAATGTGTTAGCCAACATGGATGAATTTCCCAAAGTAGATTTCCCAAAGAACGTACCAATGCTGCTATCCTTGACTATCCTCACCAGCCACCAGTAGCTGTTGCTATCGTCGAGCAGAACCATGGTGTCGCCCTTGGTTGCGTTGGCTTGGCCCTCGACGGTGGCCACAAAGGTGTGGAGGGCGTAAACGAATTCGAAATCAATGTCCTCTGGTTCATGTAAGCATTCTGCCGCCCAACCATATTCAATGAAGCGTGGGTCATCGGGGAGGGAGAAGTCGGAATCATCATCTTCTTCAAAGGACTTGTTGTAAGGTATCGTGAGCGACATGTCGGGCTCACAATCTGCCTCGTGCGCGC